ACTGCAGAAACACACAAGCGGAAGCTGGTCAGCAGTATGCCCCCCCAATCTCTTCCCTGTTGCTGCCTGCGCCACACCAGGCCTGCCCCACAACATGCGAGCAGGAGCACGCCGCCGCGGAGCAAGCACCGCCGCATGCGGCACTCACATCTTCTTCTTGCCGCCCTTCTTGCCCTTGGACAGGCGCTTGTTCTTGCCTGCAAGGAAAGGAAACAGAGAGTACCGGCAGCTAAGGGCACGGCGCTGCACCACACACCAGCTGGCTGGCCGACCAGCACAGGTGCGCGGCACCGCCGCCGCCGCTTGCTCTGCGCAAAGCGCCGCTCCTCCCAATCAATCGTGTGCTGCAGCCGCGGCTCACCCACAGCCATCTTGGTTCCTGCATCAGGCAGCAGCAGGGCACGTGGTTAGGGCCTCCAGCAGGCAGCAGGGGCGAGGCGTGGAACACGGCGGCGGCCGTGTGGGCCCAATGGCGGCGATGGGCCTGCGGGGCAGCCGAGCCTGTGCAGGCGCGCCATCCCCCTGTGCATGTCCTCCCCGATCCTGCGGCGGCGATGGCGGGCCAGGCGCTGCCCCCGGCGCCCCGCCACCATCCCATCGCATGCCTGCACGCACCTGCTGCCTCCTCTCCGCGTGCAGCCTGTCCAGAAGCAGCGAGACCGCAAGTGGCTCCTGCTGAAGAGGCCGAGGCAGCCGCCTGGGCGCCCTTTCATTGCATGGCTGCCTGGGTCACTGCATGGGGCAGCGACCAGAGGCCGCTCTCGCCGGCGCCCTGCTGCAGCGTTTTCGCACCTTCTCACATCTGTTCACTGTGTGGGAGGTCTCGCGCCGCCCCCGGCCACCCCGCCCTTGCCCTCCTGCAAACCCCGCCCGCCCGATCGCGCCTGGAAACGCTGGGGCTCGGCTATCGGCTGGACTGAAGGCGCAATGGGGTTCTGGCTGGGCACGCTGATTTTCCTGATCTTCGAGGCGCTGGGGTTCGGAGTGGTGCAGTTCAGCGGCAAGCCACACAGCACGAAGCTGTGAGTAGCGCCTGGGGAGCATGGTGGGGCGAAAGAGCGCAGCGAGACGGGCGCTGTGAGCTGTTGCAACCTTGCCCTGCCCGGTCCACCACCGCCACCGCCGCCGCCGCACCCTTCCGCCGCCCCTCAAGCTGTGCTGCTTCCTCGCCCTGTGCTGTACCCCTGGCGCAGGCTGCACCACACCTTGGTAGGCAGCACCGTGATCTGCTGTTGGATGATGTGAGTGGGCAGCTGCAGCAGAGTGCTGTGCCCCGCCTGCCCGCTTGTGCCAGGGCCGTTTGGCCGAGCCCAGCGCCGCGTCTGTCCCTGGCCTCCCACCCACCTATCGCCCGCCTCCCGCTGCGCTCCTCCTGCAGGTGGGGCATCGTCTACCTGTCCCAGATGTATCCGCTGGTGCACCCCATTTTGCAAGGCTAGCCACGCCTGCCGGCACTGGCGCCCTAGATGCGGAGCCG